CCAGAAGATCTAAAAACATCATATCACAGTGAGATATGTGCACCTATGTTCATAGCAGCACAATTTGTAATTGCTAAAATGCAGAAGCAACACAAATGTCCATCCACCAAGGATTGGATAAGAAAATTGTGGTACTTTTATATAATGGAATATTACACAGCTATAAGGAAAGATGAGCTCAAGGCTTTTATAGGTAATGGTCACAACTAATGACCATACTCATAAGTGAAATAAATCAGACATATGTGTGCAAACACCACATTGTTTCATTAGTGTAAAATCTGAAAGAATTAATTTAAACTAGGAGGTATGATAGACATTGTGAAATGATAGGAAAACACTCAAGGGCAAAGGGCAACTGGGATATGGGAAAAGAGAAGGGAAAGAAGGAGAAATTTTGTATGTATGTATATACAGGATAGTTAACATAGTTGTTCTACTACCTTCTATGTCTTTGCTGAAAGAAACTGTCAATGAGTTCTTGATTGATCAATATTGCATGTCTCTTTTCATGAGAAACCACTTTGACGATATCAATATGTAATACAAGAAGCATTGTTAATTTTCTACCACTTTTGTTTGTAATGCTGTATTGTCTGTACTGTTTTGCTATTTTGTAAAAGGCTGTCTGTCTGTCAATGTTTTCCTCCTTTTATTTTTAAAATAAACAACAACAACAACAACAAAAAAAATCACAGACATAAACAAAACAAAGAAGAATATTAAAAGTAATGCAGGGTTTCAAAACAAAATGATAGGAATTAACAGTGGTTGTTGTTACATATTGTTATCTTCAACTACATTGCTCCAATTACCAGATGGAAGAATGGAAGATTTTTCAAATCATTAAAGAGAATAAAAAGAAAAAAATTAGAAATGACACAGAGTTTCACTAGACAAGATAGTAGGAATTTTCCAATGATTGTTCCATTGCATATTGTTGTCTTCAAACCAGTTGCTCAGATTACCAGATATAAGCATGCAAAGCTTGTCAAAACATACAAAATTTTAAGCATTACCTGCTCCTTTCAATATACCATCAGCCATCAGCAGTACAGTTATCCTAGCTATATATATGTGTATATATCCCAGCTATATATATATATATCCCAGCTATATATATATATTGCTTTCTTTCTTTCTTTTTTCTTCTTTCTCTTATCCCAGTTGTTCCTTCCTTTAAGCAGTGACCTAATGATTTTTAAGAATAAGGACTGTATAATTTTAGAACATATTAGTATGTCATTGAACATGGCATTGTAGTAGTTATAGACAATGGTACCCTTCAAGATTAAATGAAATGAAAAATCTGATCAAGAGAAACCCTCACACATTCACCCTCCAGTGCGCTGTTACATGATTACATTATCTATTAGTCGGCTGGCCAATGCTTATAGTCTTCATTGTGTATGCATCCTTACCCATAATTATTTTGGGTTACTTCCCATCCAACATCTCTTGGGCACACACTTAGGATACTGAACTTAGTTTGAGTCTTCAGCTGTTTGTACCTCAGCATTGTTTCCTCCTGTGGATGCTCTTCAGCTTTGGGTGATCTCTCAGTCTCAGTGCAGCATGGCCCTTCCTTTAACACTTGATCCTGGCTCCACCGTGTGATCGCTCATCATCATCTATCCTTGATCAGCACAGACATGAGTCAGCCTTTACCTATGCATGCACAAAACTGGTTGAAAGAATGAATCTAAGACATGATTCCACACTTCCAGTTTTCCGCTGTAGGTTACTCAGGTAGATGACGCTGGTTTATTCTCATTAATAGTCTTTTACAATACCTGTTTATCACTAATGACTGATCTAGAACAACAACGTTGGAATAATCTGACTCTCGTTAATCTGAATTTTAGTTCTTCCCAGTTTCTTAGGATTCAAGAGAAGTTTTATTGCGCTATGTTGTTTATTCAGTGCAATCTGTTTGGACTAAGAGAGGAGGTCTCCACCTGCAATAGAGACAGGAATAGGCTATTTTCAGATCCCCTTGCAAATCAGAAAATTTGAAAGTCTGTTTATATCACTCCTTTCTGTGTACTCGATGAAGACCCTATGTATTGCTGGGTTTTCTCTGTCTCTGCTTGAAGCAACATCAATTCTTATACAAGAAACTGGAACCTGGGAGGCTGAGGTGGGATTTGAGCAGGTAAATGTTGTATTTTCATGCCTACATTACACATATGCTTAATCAGCTTTGTAGTTTGAATAAGGAGTGGAAGCCATGTTATACACTTGCGCTATTTTGAGATGTTGAAAGCATCCCATCTCTTTCAAAATTGGCCACATCTTTTTTGACTCTCTTCCCACTCTGAACATAAAACAGGTGCACCAGTAATAGTTGGCACAAAGTGAAAAAGTTTTTGCACTGAACATTGATCTTTTCTCGTAGTTCACTTTATCTTAGTCATCAGTGTTGATTCAGAGATATTAAGTATGGTAATAACTTGAAGCCAAATTAGTCAAGATTTGGCCAGCACTAACCAGAGTTTGCTTTAGCTGTGGGAGGAACTTGCAAAAGGCAATATTGATTATGTCTGGTAAATGCCAATTATAATTTGACATTCTGATTTCTGCTTTTTGTTTAACTTAAGCAGATTCTGCTTTGCTCTATTTGTGAAAGACAACTGCATGAGTGAAGACTGCTACTTGCAACGAGACTAGTGATTTATCTAAAGTGAGAGGCAGACAGGAAGCTGTAGCTCCGTTTTGCTCATTCTAACTCAAAATGGGCAGAGGTGAGCAATATTACTGAACCACATATTCTAGGTTTAAAGAGAAAGATGAAAAGAGTAAGAGAAGCAGGAGTCATACTGAAATTGAAAATTAAAACAAAAATAATTATAGAAAGATTTCATACATGATTATTGTAACGAAAAAATTATGTCACTGTAAAAAATATTAGGGGCTGAAAGAATACAGAAGGGATTAATGTATAGAAAATGAAGATCTTAGAGAATTTGCTGCTGGGTGATCAATGCAATGTACACCCTGTGGGAGATACTGTTCTGTATAAGGCAGTAGGATGCCCACAGGGACAGCAGCATGGTAAACAGGATCCTTCCCCTCAGGGTGTTGGGTGAGGCGTAAGGACGCTGGGGGTTGCTTTCAAGAACGAAATATGCGGCTTCTCCCTCATCTGAGAACTAGAGAGATGACACTGAAACTCATTCTGATGACCAAGAAACAAGGAGAGCATAGGCTTTTCTAAAGAGAGTTTTTGGAGAGAAGTACGGCGTTGTGGAGCCACAATTCTGTTGCATAATGTGGAATTATTGGAAAGGACTTTTTACCTCAGGTCTCATGCGAGAAGTTCACAATTTCAGGAGCTCCGAAAATTTGATGTTTATTTCTTACAGTTGGGGAGCAGGTTGGATGGATGTTTGATTCACACTTGAGTAAGCTGAAAGAGTCGTTAGAGAAAAAGTACCACATCTAGAAAGTATAGGTACCTTTGCTAAAGGGTCAAAGGTGCATGAATTGTAGCCAGGGGGAACATTCAGTGGGAATGTTAGCAGGGAGGCATTTTACCATGGGAGCCTATGAGTGAAGGTGTTGTATCTCATCTGGGAGCCCAGAGTATGTAGCTAAGCCCTATACCACAGGAGTCAGAAGTGGCGTGCAGCTTCGGACCAGCCAGATGTAGGTGAGGCACTGCCTTGGTCAAGGAAATCGCAGTTCATGGAATCCAGCACAATGGTCTCCATGGAATCCACAGAAGCACCCCCGAAAGGATGAATCTGTTCAATTGTCTGCCAAGTCTGAAGAATGTGGAACTTTTTCATGGCGGTGAGATCATGTAAGAACTTTTCTGTATTTTTTTTACCACTCCTCCCTTCCATCACATATTTGGTCCTTGCAGACTGCAAAGTAAAGATCTGTTGAATAAAAGAGAGAAAAAATGAGGGAAAGAGAGAGAACAAATAGATCATGTCTTATTCCTGACTGCAGGTGGCCAGTCTGCAGCCAATCCTAACTGGAGAGCGGCTTATGAATGAAGTTTGAAGTATTAACAAACATAATACCTACATATTATAATGTCTGCATGAAGTGTTAAAAGGACCCTCCAAGGGAAGGAATTTCTGTTAGTGACGTGGAAACTATGGGTCTGTCTGAGTTAATCCAATGGCAGGGATAAAACTTCTACCTATGGCCAGGCTTGAAGGACAGAAAAAGATAGAACTCTAAAGAGAATTTTCCATGGCACACCACGAATGCGTTCTAAGTACTGGCTCCAAAAGAAAATGAAAAGGTCCTTTTTTTCCTTTTTTCCCTTTCCTTTTAGCCCCTCCTTTCTGACCTCCCTCCCTCCCTTCCTTCCTTCTTCCCTTCTTCTCTTTTCTGGTGAGGAGATGAAGGCCTGTTTTAGTTTAATGATCAATCTGTGTAATCACAGAAGCTTCTGTGTAGGTTGACTTTTGTTGTATTTTCAGAAAATTTACTATGGTTTCCCATCACATTGGTAGCCTGCACTCAGCTGTGATGGGGTATTTACAGCACAGAAACTGACAAATACTAGAAACTGACACCTTCCTGTGTCTTTTGAGTTTAACAGTAGTTATTTTTTGTTGAAAAAAATGTACTTTTGGCTCCAAATTATTTCTAGGAGCCACAACAAGGAGATAAAATTTTTCTTTTTTTCTTTTTTTTTTTTTTGTGGAGAAGTACAACAATGGACAGAAATTTTTTTGACTAAATTGAAGTGGAATTACTGACAAACTCCAAAATGGGGTTTAAAGGACTTAGTCCTGATCCAAAATGCTTTTCTTCCTTTTGTGACTGCATAGAGAAGCTAGGTTCATTGCTACCAGAAGCGACAGTCTGAGGACTATCCCTTGATTAACTTTTCCTTTCCCAGAATATTGTACAATCTTTGTTTCTGGCAGTATACTGTGAAATTCCAAGCTGTTGAGTAGACAAAGGATTCCATTGCCTCAATTAATTTTTAAAAAAGTAACAAATTTTCAGTAGAGATGACTTCCCTTTTTGTAGGACCATCTCCTAGCAATCGCTTTTTAGGGTTGTGCCAATATCATCATAATAAACATGTCAAGATTGTCTGCTCTGTACTCTGTCTGATCGCCAGCAGTTGTGGAGCCAGATTTCCATCCTGCTAAACAGCAATGAATGAAAGAGAAACATACTTTAGCATTCTGTGGGAGGGGGATCATGAGACTGTGTAGGGGCAGGGTGGAGGAACAGGACTGGCAGAATTTTGGAAGATTCATTGCCACGGATACATGCACACTGTTAAACAAAGCTAAATGACCATCTGAAGGAACAAGGCTAGATTTTAAAGGGTATCCTTTCGGAGAAATTCTTTGGAGTTGTGTCCCATTTTGGGTCTTAATTTTCTTGTCAATAGAGCATATTGATTTCTGACTCTGGCTGCAGATTAGAATCACCCACGGAACTTGCAAAGCCTAGTGCCTGGCCCCTATCCCAGAACAATAGAATCTGGAAGCAATCAAGAGCCGCTGGTCTGGAACATAAACCTTTAATGTGGCCAAGATGACTTTAATTTGGTGTTGTTTCATCATTTAAGGAGTTAATGAATTTCTAGAGTGATTGTTTTTGGAGTTATCACATTTTCATATGCCTTTCCTGTTTCTTTTTTTGTGCATGTGAAATGTTTTTGATTAGAGGACACCTGCTGGATAGCTGCTGTTTGTATAGGACACAGTTTTACAGGCTATAAGTCGGATAGGCAATCGTTTGTACCTTGTTTCCCTTGACATAAAAAGAACCTGCTTGAGACATCAGCGCATTTGGAGGAAAACATGCTTTTAGTATTTAGATTGTTATTACTCATTTTTAATAAAAAGCTATCAAACTTGACATGTTTCTTTGAAAAATAGAAATGAATCCTTGTGGGTAATAATAAATCTGATTTTGTGAAGACAGCAAACTAGGCAGAGAGATTTAAGGAGTTTTTCTTATTGCCATTTTATCACAAGGAAGGACTTTTGAGGATATTAAAACTTGAGTCCTGTCCATTGACCTTTTAAGAGATACAGTTCTGCTAAACATAGCTTCTCTTATGTGGCTGCCTTATGTAGCAGTTTGTTGTGAAAAAAAAAAAAAGTCCTGCAGACATGAGGTGAAACGAGTGCCCTGCTCTGGTGATTGGTATATACCAAACTAGAGGCAAATTCACATGAGAAAAGTGCTTGACAAAAATATTTCATCTAAGATATTTTCCAGCTGAGCTGCCTTCGCATTCTGTTCCCACCACATTCTCTGAATTGCGCGGTGGAAAAGCTGAGACATTTAACTTATGCTCTGCAAAGCACTGAGAACTTGGGCACAGAAAACCAGGTCATTTTTTTAATTGCTGTCTTTCTGCGAGAATTCAGTTTTTTATATTGTTTATGCAAAGGAAGAACCAATTTAGGAAGAATATTCAACTTAAAGAAAGTGATTCAACTTAAAGAAAGTCACATATTCCCATGCTGTATAATTGCACCTTGTGGTTATTGACAAATTATTTAGAATAGATGATAGTGGCCTTTTGGCTTTAGTTTGGATTTCTACATTTCTGTGAGTACACTACAGCAAATCTAAAATTGTAGGTAAGGAGTCTTTATAGACAGCATATGCCAAATCAATAGAGACATTTTACTGAGAGCACATTGCTTACATTTTGGCTGTTATCAATTCTGATAATTTCATGTCATCAATGCACGCAGGATTCTATAGGAAACATAAAGTTTCTTCCTTAAAAACTATCAAAATTGCATATAACTCAGCAGGACAATCCAGGCATGAAATGAACATGTTACTAGATTTCTCTGTGTTTATATTCTGTCTTCCTTTCTAATTTGGATCATGAGCCATTTGGCAAGAACCATGCTTAAATCTATCGGCACTTATAGAATAGCAATGGACGCATACCTCTGCCAATTTATTGACGAATTCCATCAGGAGAGGCAAAGAAACTTCACCAAAGAAGTTGTACAGGATTTAAAGAAATCTGCAGAGTTTGGAAAATGATCCATATAGAAGGGTGGCTGTCCATTCATGAAATGTTTCTTTGCCACCAGTTATATGTAGCCACCATACTAGACTGTAATAAGGAGATACGCCTAAGGAAATCAGAGTCTAGCAGAGGAAATGAGACGGACACAAATGACCACAAGACAAAATAGGTTGTCAAGTGTCTGGCTAAGTTTATACTTATTCCTGACTCTACTGATATTGGCAGTGTGACAGGAGGGAGGTCAGATAGCCTTTCTCCACACCAGGGAGATGAGAGAATGGAGCACTGTCTTGTAGATCTTTTCTGACCCTCAAATAAATGCTATTCAAAAGAAGGCACATTTGCGTGATACAGATTTCAGTGCACAGAAAGCATAGTTATTCTTTCATAATAAATTACTATAAAAATAACAAAAATTTAGCGCACCAGTAAAAGCTAGAAGAGGTTGATGGATGAACCAGAAAATGTGCACATCAGCAGGAAATCCCAGCCGTGGTCTTCTGTTTCTTCCTGCTGGTATGAGCTTCTCCCAGCGTCTCCCTGGCTCCCTTCTGGTTGACTGAAGCCTTCCTGGGGCAATCTGTTCACAAAAGCTTCTCCCCCATCTCTCTCTGTTGACACCTTGCTTGTTTTTTCTCATAGCTCTTATTACTATCTGCCACTGAGATCTACATTGCCATGTATAGCTGATTGTCTGCTTCTCCCATGAGGATGTAGCTCCATTGCCGGGTAAATCTTATTTGTGTGTTCATTGCTATTTCACCAGCATCTAGACCAGGGTCTGGCACATTGGAGCCCTTCATAAATATTTGTTGACAAAGAAAGAAAATTCTTTATAATGACTGCAATTTTTAAACAATAACCATTCCTCATTTTTCTACTCTCAGTAGTACTGCATTAACTAAACAGTTTACTCATTTGTGCCTTGCAGATGAGATTTCAGCTTCCTCCTCCTCCCTTCATTTCTTCCCTCCTATTTTCCTTCCACTTGAAATGTGTAAGAGAACTTTGAGGTAAGTAGTAAAGACAGTGAAGCTCTCACTTTCCTTAAATATCGAACTAGAAACTCTGTGAAAGGAACTGGTTATTTCCAATGTTTAACAAAACAGATAAAAGAAATAATTTTTATAGTTGCTTTTCTCTATTATTTTTCCATATTTACCTGAATGTGCCAGAAGATTAAACAATATGTGTAAATATACAGTTATATATTCAAAATTTTTTTTGAACTTTGTAAAGTATTTGTGTCTGCTCAGGTTAGAACAACAGATTTTACTTTTATTTTTGATTAATTCAAAATAAAGCATCTGTACAGCGAGGAGCTGTGCGGTAGCTAAATTTGGAACACATCACGAATCATTAGATTACTTAGACCGTCACACTGTCATCTGCTGCAGAATCGAGAGCAGTTGTACAGGATGAGTTAACTATAAGTAGAATCTCCTTGGAACGTTTTAGGTGAAAAATGGTTTGTTTTTGTTATTTTAGAAAAAGAAAGGAGTTACATTGCTTACATCATGCTTCCTTTCCTCTAAATAAAAACAAAGGAAGTCGAAACTAAGTAAAACAAATTGGTCTTTTCTAAGAATGTAAGTTACAAATATATAGCAAAAACTTAAATAATTTGAATGAAGTAAGCACAAAGAAGAGAAACAATCACAGTCATTTCATACAGCTCTTGTTCCCATGGTAATGTAACTGTCACTGATTTATAGCTTTTAAAAATTATATTTAATATGTGTAAGTTCTTGCTTTTTATTATTTATCAAGTTTCCCTCAAATTTACTACCAGCTACATGGGTGTGGTTACAGATATAAATTTGAGTGTTTGCATTTTGAGTTAATGAATAATTCTATGAAAAATCTTAAATGGGATTGGAATATCAATTTGATTCTTTATACACAGCCCACCCTACAAGTGTATTGCTGGTCTCTGCCTAAGAAAGAAGCCAATGACAAATGCACTTGGTGTAATTCGGGACCATTTGCTACCTGACCTACCATTGTGTTAATGTGGCAAGGGAAGGATTAGATAGATATAATATATATATGTATTTAGTCAGCCTTAAGTTTAGATGTCACCCATGCCAATACTGAGCAAACTGAATACAAATCTAAGTAGTTAGCTTTATACAGCCACAGTAATCAATGTTTGTGCTGGGCAGTGATTGCATTGGTAGTGCTGTTCATTTAAAAACCAACTCGTGGTTGAATTATCAGTGGGACCAATGGGCTAAAATTTTCAAAAGAGGAATTTTGGACCAGTGCCTCCTGATTGTAGCAGAGGCAGATTTCATCATCTTTGATTGAATAAAAATATTAAACGAAGCATTTCATTTTATTAGTTAATATTTGAGAGTTTGTATTTATAAGACTGAGTCCGGTATGGCTGAGCCTACGTTACCATTTGGTCTGAACACAGGTTCCTTTGTCAACGTGCCTTCTCAAGATACGTGGGTAACAACTACCACGATGCTCCTCACACTTTCTAAACCAGTGTATTTTTACAAAGTAAGTTACATAGTAGGGATTCAATACAAACCCAAATTATGCAAATTCATGCTTGGGATCTATAGAATATATATCTGGCTTATTGCACAATTTTAATCAAGTAGATTATTAGCATTTCAAAATTTTGCCTTTGAGCCCATGGCTAAGACTCTTTCTGTCTTGGTTGTGGAACGCTAAGATAATCCCAGCAAATTCCATAGCTTTCAGGGCTGATTCAATCTAGTTCAGGTTAAATCTTCAACCCATCCAGTGATTTTCAGTCTGTCTCCATCTCTATTCCCAGAGCCAGGCTGACCGGAAATGAGGAAGGCAGTTCTCACTCTAGCTTGTTGGAAGGAAGGCTTTCCCACTGCGCGCCTGCGCAGGTCTTGTCTCCTGCCTTACGCTGGCTGTAGTCCCTTTGGCATTGGGAGAAGAGCGGGGAAAGGAAGTGCCTCTAACCTGGTTCCGTTAGCTAGCGCTGCTTCTCTGGCTTACACTGTAGAACCCCCAGCATGGCAGCTGTCTGATTCCTGGCTCCTCTGAGGGCGTCTGCATGGCTTTTCAAAGAGCTCAGAGGCTCCTGCACTCCTTTTACTCTGCTTCTTCGTGCCGTTTTCAATGGTGGCCTCGCAGAAAACTGGTGTGAACCTTCCGGCTCTTCCCTTCCCACACTCCTCTCCCAGTTCCTTTTCTGTCCTGAAATAAACACTGGGGCAGATGAACAAGAATCTGTCATACTGGGGAGTGATATACCAGGCTCCTCCTTTGCCTCTTCTGAACCTCATAAAGGAGTCTTTTGGATCCCGGGTTTGTCTGGTAAGGGGGAGGCACCTTTTCCTTTTCTTCAAGAGGAAGTAAATTGTTGTCACCATCAACTCTGAATTTCCCTTAAGGTCGATGAGTCCAATAACTCCTTGCTCTTCTTTTTCCCGGCGGGATTGGTAGAGCTGGCAGAAGTGAGGAAGGAAGGCCAGAGGCAGTTAGGCAGGGTCTTCTCGGCGGGCTCCTTCTGAGTTCTGGGGTGGTGTCTGTGCCCAGTGGTTAGTGAACTACTTTAAAATTTGAGCATATTAATCTCTTGCTTTCCCTTACATTTGAGAAATATTTGCTTACTTTAGAATGCCAGGAAAACCCAGTCTCTGTTAAAATGCTGAGAAACCTCACTTTATATTCAAAATTTAAAGTAATGGTCCTAATAGAATTAAAAAATCTGTGAACAATTCTTCAGCTCAACTGACGGGTCAAGTAGACCAAGTATTGAAAACCTTCTTTCCCTTATTTGTGTGAAGGTGATATTTTAGCTAAAAAACAACACTCTTATTCTTTGTGATTTGTGAATTGTGGGCATATTGAACTAGGCAAGGTTTTCATTCATTCTGTACAAAAAGGTGGCCATTCTAAAGTTAAAACTCTCTGTGATACTTTATATGAGTAGATTCCAATGAAATGAACATTTCAAGTAAGTTATTCACAATTTGGATGTCCATAATGATCCTTTGACTTTAGCTTCAGAATTCATAGTTATTAGCAAAAGAGGTAAGGCTTAGGTACCCATTTATTTAAGCTGCAATTTAGAAGAGAATGTACTAGTTATATTTGCTTCCATTGTGTGTGTGTGTGTGTGTGTGTTTGTGATATCAGGCATCCAATTCATGACCTTGCGCTTGCCAGGCAGGCGCTATGCCACTGAGCTACATCCCCAGCCCTATCATTATGTTTTTGTCCATTTAATTTTAACACTCCGGATAAAAACAGAGAAGTAATTTGACAAAGTGTACAGTTGTGCTGATAATGAAACTTCTAAGGATGGAATCGTGGGGATTATCTGGGTAGAAGCTGTAAGAAAGTGATAAAATGTTGTGTCTAAAGAGAACAAGAGAGTTTCAGAAGGAGAAAGGTGAATCAGAGATACACTGGCCAATGACAGAAGGAAGAGAAGGGGAGAGAGCATACACAAGACCGTCAAGGTCTGTAACCTGCTATGAGCTGGATGGGAAGGAAAAGAATTCACTTCAGTACTGAGTGCTATCTGAGAACACAAAGACAGACACATATGTGCTAAGAGGTAGAGAATGAGAGAATAAAATGAAAGCTCACTGATAAAAAAGGTTCCAGTGGGCATGGTGGTAAGTCTGAAGCATAGATATCATGTAAATACAATCACATATGTGCATTAGGGATACCTGAGTGTGTTTTCATGTATTTTTTGTCCCTGATAGTATCATCATTACATTGAAAGAACAGAATAGGAAATGCGTACAGTACAAAAGCACATAGATGGTTGTCTTGTTTGATCCATGTGGTGATGATTTCTTCCCTGTCTTATACTCTGCATGTGTGAGAGAGGAGGCTTGAACACTTGCTGACCTGTTCACCTGGACTTTACCTATTCTTGTCTCCCAGGTAGTGTTCATGTTTCTCACTCTCTTCTCCCAAGTAGTGTTTGCGGAGCTCTCATGGAGTTCATGTGGAGGTCAGCACCGTTCCACCTGCCACCCTGTCATCCCTGCCCTCTGCTGTGTATGTGAAGCTCGGAAGCCAGAGCAGAGGCGCTGTTGGGCCCTTAGAGGGCAGTGGGCAGGGGATCTTGCTGGGACTGGTGTTTTATTTGCCTGTTGCCTCTCTGTAGGACCAGCATAACAGGTGGTGTGCAGGAGCCCAGACAGCAAGCAAGAGGATCTGGCTCGCCATCAGCATTTCCAAAGTTCTCAACATAATCTTTGTCAGTGAACAGGGGAGCTCCGCTTTTAAGGAGGTCAGAAGGATTAAGGCAGGAGCCTGGGCTTCAGAGAGGAGACACACGAGAGCCCACAGTCAGGGCTCAGACCCAGTGGGACTGCAGCGGACCCAGGCCACAAAGGGTGGGTCTGGCCCCTGGAAAAGGCCTGAGGAATAAAACCAAAGGTGAGGGACTGCAGTTCAAAGGAAAAAAGTGTTCACTCTTTTAAATCAGGGTTACTGCCTCTCAACTCCCATTTTACTAAGGGGCCAGGATGCCTAAACACTGTCAGCTTTTGCTGGACTTGTGAGTCTTTGGGCAACTGAAGGTCATGAGTGCTTTGCCGGTCAGGGGCAGGGACAGCAGGAACCAACATTTCCTTTTGCTTTTCACATTCAGGCCAAAGTGAGTTTTAGAGGGCACAGCCTAGGGGTGTGTGTGTGTGTGTGCATGTGTGTGTACTTATCTAATTACACTGTGTTTAAGGATAGCACGTAGGTTTTCTAACAGCATATATAATTCTTCCAAGAAGGAGGTTGGGGCATGTGGGAAGATTCCTTGCACAGAACCTTGCACAGATAAGGAATTGCACTTCTTCACTGTTAGAACTGTCCTTACACAAAAAATAGGACTGGATTCAGAAGGAAGCATTCTCCAGTGGCTTCTTTCTTTTTTAAAATCATTTATTTCTGTCCCACAAATATAAAATAGTTCCAGAAAGTTTGGACCTGTATTTTATTTATAGTTGATATCTATACTTTTTACCTTGAAAAGCTTTGGCTCTGAGCTTAGAAAGAGGAGGATTTGTAATAAAAAATGTACAGAAGTGAAAGCTATAAAGAAAACTCATGACAAGGCCCAAGCATTTGCATTTCACGTTTGTAAATGGCTCATAAAGGAATGAAGCTCTTGTATTTTCCCCCACAAAACCGAAGTCAAAGCTTCTAATCAGGTCTGTCCTTGACTCTGGCTTCCCCAAAAATGTCATAAGGAATTTTTGGTTTTCCCTAAAAGAGAGATGGGAGTATCTATTTGGATCAATCATAATGGGAGGGAGAATTAGTTAATTCTCCCCACAGTGGGTAGAAATTGGAGCTTGCAGTGAGGACAGAGGCACAGAGTGGCATGTGGGGCTGGTTGGAGACAACTCTTGTGCTTGGGTGCAGTGTTTGGCCTCAGGCCAAAGGCTGCAACTAACAGGAAAGTGTCAGCATCTCAATATAATTGCATGTCCCGAAGCTTATTATTGCACTAATAAAAATGCTTTTCAATAAATCTGAGGAAGAGGGGGGAAGCACCAGGAAGAAAGGAATTGCCTGAAATATTTTATTATATTTAATAAAATTCTCATTAATGGAAAGAGTAGCTCTCTGCTAAATAAATGTGCTTTAATTTTATTTTCTGATTAATTTGATTTGAGATAAATGCAAGTAATACATTTCTTTTTGCAGTGTACTTTCTTAAAATAAGAGTTAAAGGCAAGCAGACATCAGTACGAGTGAATATGTTCTCAAGGGCAGCAGCAAGTGGGAAGACCAGGACATCAGCAGCCCAAGGTGTAGTTAGTAAGTGTGTCACCGAGGACTTGAGTGACCTTGGGGAAATGGTTAACCTCTCCACTCTCCTACATAACCTGTCAATGTTTCATGATTGCAAAAATCCTTGAAATAATAAGAATGTCAAAGGTATTTGACACATGCACTCTTATTTATAATAGATTTTTATGCAGCATTTATTCTCACTAACAACACTCTTGATCACATCCCTAGCACATTTGAGATGTTTCTCTTTTTTCGTATCAGTGGAGAATATTTGAGACTTCTTTATGACAAAACCCAACTTAGTATTTTCTTAGGAACAAATGCTCATATATAAAAGTAACCTATAAAGAGTTTTTTCCCCTGGTTCTCCTGATAAAACAAAAAATTACAAAAAAAAAAAAACTACAAAAAGGAAAAATGATGATAACTCAGTTTCTTGCTTATTTGCTATGACAGTGTTCACAAACATAACACGAAAAAAGAGATCAAGGCTTTTTCTATTAACCTTTTATCATAAGCCAGATTCTTATACACATTAGTTTTTTCTTAGTGCTAAGGAGAATTTCTAGCACTTAATACTGATTTGGTGAACACATGTTCTTGTTTCTTTTCCTGTATTTATTCTTAAGGTAACCTTACAAAACAAACCTGATTTTAATTTTAGGCTGTGGTTGAAAAAGCTTAAATATTTTTTATTAAGATGATACAGGAGCAAATGGCAGAGCCCAAATTAGAGTGTTGATTGTTTGACTCCAAAGCTAATGTTTACAATAAAGGAGATTGACAGTATTTTGATTAATACAGATTATCATTCCAAAGTTCATCAATTATTAGGATGGATCTGTGTAGTGAAGAAGCTGTTATTTTGGGCTCAGGGGACCTAATGGGCAAGAGCTGGTTCTGAATGAAAGCAGGAGGTGACAGGGATGTCGAATGCCCCGGCCTGGTGGAGAAGCCAGTAGGCAACCATGGCTTTTGAGGGTCTTGCAGGCATCGGCTGAGTCCCAAGAGTATTTCTTGTACTTAGTAATGGATGGAAGCGCATCTGTGCGGAAAGTGAAGTCCCGGGAGCAAGGAAGGGTCAGGTAGGCACTTCAGCTGGGAAACCCGGGAAGATAAGAGCAAAGGACAGCAGGCGGAAGAACAAGGTTTGAATTGGTACTGGAAGAAGGCAGCTGTTGCTCCTGGATGATCTTTTCTGTCCTAAGAGTGGGGAAAAAGTACCACTAGCCTAAGCAAATAGCCAGGAGGGAATAACACATTTTTCCCAGGAGTGGTAGAATTCTACTTAGGCTTCTTATTTCCTCTCCATTCCCATTCCACCCTTCTTTGTCCTGCCTTGTACTGTTGTATCTGGAAGGAGACAACTTTTCTTCATAGCCAGTTGGCACAAAGTTAAGCTTGCTCAGTAGGAGGAGCTGAGAGGACACTCAGAGAAAAGAGTTGCTCTTGGTCTCCTAATGTGTTTGTTTCTTCTTGTTCCTGTGGGATATGAAGGCATCATCTGATGATGCTTACTATTTGGGTAGGTTTGCCAGCACCCCAGTGGGACCATGTCTCAGCAGTGCAAGATCCTCCAATTCTGGCTAATTTTACCTGTCAGCTAAGGTGGCTTTTCAAAGAGTCTCCACAATGTCCCAGGGCAACTTCTTGGAGTTTTAGCAGCATCCTTTCATATTGTTTCCTGGTAATTGTCAGCTTCCCTAATAGCCTTACTGGTCCCTGAGAGGGTAGCTTCTTAGTAAGTTTTTTTGGGTATTACAGGAGACATCTTCCAGCCAGCTACCCAGCCATCTGGTGGCCGCAGTTATACAGTCTAATGAGGTCTCACTCTCAGCCTTGTGGGAAAGCCCTCTCCCAGATTTGTTCTCTCTCCTTGTAGCCCTACGAATAGCCACTGCACCTTCATCTGCTCTGTCCATGTTCTTTGAACTCCCCCTACCTTTGTACTTAACCCCCAGTTAGAAGTTAATAATTCTTTATGTTATAGTTTGTTTTTTTCATTCCGATTATGTGTGTGGTTTCTGTTTCCTGACTGCACTCTGAACAATATGTCACAACCTGAGACACAGCCTGCGTGAGGGCTATTTGGGAAGCAGAAGAGGGTAACAGAGGGAAAGGCGATAAGGAAGAGTTATCAAGAACTGGTTATTGAGTTGGTCACAAGAATGGGAAAGTGGTTTTTCAATCCTGGGGAACTTCTGAGCAGCCACAGGAAATATGTGTCAGAACCAACAGCTTGGGAGAGAAAGTAGAAGCCCTGGATCCTCTCTGTTGTTGAAGAGGCTTGGAGTGGGGGCACGTCTGATTGCGTCAGAGTGAAAGTGGTTAAATGCTGCACAGTCCTAGTACAGCAGTAGTGACTGATATAAGAAGAAGCTGAAAAAACTGAACAGGTAGGTGCCTCAGAGGGGTTTGGCACAGCTATCTAAATAAAAAAAACCAGATATTTAAAAATCTTTTCTCAAATAATATAAAAATTTAGCTGACATATTAGGAGAGGAAATTAAATTGATAATTCCAAAATGGACAAGTTGCAACTTGGTTCTCTCATTTGATGTACCTAGATTGAGAAGGGGCAAGTGTGGTTGGGCCAACATACCTGCATAATATAACACTGAGCAGGACAGTAGGCAGTAGATGCCACATTCTAGCATATTACCATCAGAATTCATTACAAGGACACTTTTCATCCTGTTGGGGCAAGAGGCACACTAGTTCAAGAAATGGCGCTATCTCTTCAGAAGAGGTCAGAGGTTAACTACGGCAAGGAAGAGGGGACAGTTTTAGAAATTTAGGAAATACAAAGAGTAAAGTAAAATTGCTAATAATTTGGGGTGTACCTTAAACAAATGCCCCCAGAGTTTTTATTTGTAGGCCTGAGACTATGGCTATGAGTAGAGAGAGAAACTTTGCTACAGGTGAATTCTGATCTGAAGCTGTGGGGAATAATAACAGCCTGTGTTCTATTTCTGTCTTCTGTGAACACCTCCCTGTTTCCTCACATCGTCACTTTCCGCCCTCCGTTTTGACTTAGTTGGGGGGATGGTGAAGCAAGTGGCTTTCTTCCTTTTCGCTCCTGCTACTTCCTGACCTCTTGCTTATACATTTCTTCAGTCCTCATTTGAGGCCCATGGTTTTAACTTCTTTCCATTTTCTAACCTAGAAGCAAGAACTACAATAAGTCTTCACAGTTGTTTAAAAATATTTATGTCTTTTGATTCAGAATTCTTCAAAAATACTTTTGAATTTTTACTTTAGAGAAGTGATTATTGAAAGGTTTAAAACGCTTGAATTCTAGGAAGCTAGAGGTTCATGTGACTCACAGGGAAATAAATTATTCTGCAAAATGGTTGATTGTCCAAATAATGTAAATATTAGGAGTGGGAAAAATTGGAAATGTACTTCAGAGAAGGCAATAAAAACCAGCATTCATCAAGAGGTCAGGTCTTGCATAAGTGCCCTTTCATCTTATCTGTCTAGAAATTCCACCTGACAGTGCCATCAAGAAAGGCCATGAAGAACCTAAGAGGAAAGGGGAACACAGAACATGTTTTAGGTCACACACATCAATCTTTCTGGGACTCCAGTGTCCACAATAAATTTTTCCTTTGCTGAAATCCTGTTGTGTATTTACATGTAGAGTACTTTTGGCCTTTTTGACATCCAGATCTATACTGTCAAAATATTTTAAAGCTCAACTTCTTTAGTTAAAGACAAGGAACATTTCCCTAATATTGTTCATGCCTCATGATGCTAAAAGAATGATGAGCTTTCTGTGGTGAAGGGAGAGAGGGGATAGATTTGGGGATTGATGCCAATTCTGTCACTTACCAGCTGGTGACTTTAGGAAAGTCACTTAAACTTTCCATGTCTCAGCTTCCTTAATTTGTAAAATGAGCATAATACAACCTCTCTGACAGGGTTGTTAGGATGATTAAACTAGATGCTGTAGCTTAGCAATTCCCAAAGTGTGTTATTTGGAATACCAGTCCCCAAAGATGATCCTCTGTGAGAAAACTCCTTGTTTAAATTACTCTGTGAAATGTGGTGTATTGCTTTTAATGAGTCTCTATGAAAGTGTTTCTCACACTTGTCTGGCCAATCATTCTTTTATTTAACATGTATTGACATAGGTAGAAGACGCACTGAGAAATAGAATGAATCTAAGTAGCACTTGTGCCTGTATTAGGTATAAGGATTCTAGAATATGATCACTACACTGGAAAGGTTTAATGACCACTAGGATCCAGCAAAAATCCATCTAAAAATGTCAAGTGAACAAGTTTATAAACTGCTCTCATTTATGTTAAAAAAGAATATATGTTTTTATACTGTATTGAAAAATTTGGGGAAGATGAAATAAATTATCGGTGGTAGTTTCCTCCATAGTGATGCCCAAGGTGGAAGGGAACCTTACATGAATATTTTGCCCCTTGTGTACTGTTGCAGTTCTTTTCACTCAAGCAGTTACTATGTGGGTAAAAAATATTTAAATGTGATGAGGAGAAGCTAAAAATGTACATTAATTTTTGATGATTTGCAGTATATTGAAATGTGAAGAAAGCTTGCATACTATTTTAGAATGTTAATCATTTCTGTAGAGAGGGATATTTATGATCAGCAGACCAGTTCTTGCAGTAGTCACCTGAGCTTGCCACATTGGCAATACATGTAAGTTTTGTGCCCTGTTATGTGCATCCTTCAGCAAAAATACTGATCTTTGAACCTGGACGTCCACTTCCAGATCTCTTACCTGACAGAAACTTAGAGACTCTTATTAACACTCATCTGCAGAATTACATTCCAAGTTCATTCTTTGACTTAGAACCCATGTAATATATTTTGATATTTGTGAGAATTTTAACAGATCAGTAGTTGCACAAAATTTGTTATTTCCTGGATTAAGAAGTTGAAACTATCTTCAGGCCAGGAAACTTACCAGAAAGGTTGCACTGTTGCACATCTTACAATTTCAAATCCAAAAGGCACAAAGTATCATGAAACACATCCTATACATCAATTCTTACAGAGCAGAACAGGTGGATTTGAATATGCAGTGACCAATAAT